TCCAGGGTACATGCAGTTGAGGGAATTTAGCTGGCCTGAATATCCAATGAGGGAATTTAGCTAGTCTAGTACATGCAGGTGAGGGAATTTAGCTAGTGATAGCACAGCCTTGAGGGATTTTAGCTAGCCTACAAGGTCCTACTACAAAGGAATGCATGTGCACCAACAAAGGAATTCAATATGTAATATGAGCTAATAAAGGAATTCAATATGAAACAAAGGAACTCAATATCCAATAAGCATCCAGTATTCAAATTGAGCTATAGTCAGAGTAAAGGATCCAAGAGATATCCTGTGATAGGTTGAAATAGGTGTAACTTCTGAACTAATAGAGATAAGGGGGTAGTTGTAGTGGGTGACTAGGGGTTATTTTACCTCAGGAATCCATTTTTGATGTTTATTTTACCTTATATCTGATGTAGAAAAAGATGAGAATAAATTTTTATATTTTTAGCGTAGAAACACAGGAATAACTACCACACCGGCGAGGTACATGCCTCGCCGGCTGGAAGGAAACCTTTCCAGCCGGCGAGGATGTGCCTCGCCGGTTGGAAGAACCTCGCCGGCTGGAAGGAAACCCTTCCAGCCGGCCATTGGCTCCGGGTATCCCTTGGGATACCCGGATATCCGCCAGGTTTGGGGGGGGGAAACGGCCATCCGCAGCCGAATCCGCACCCCCTGGCGGGTATCCGCTGGGACCAGCGGGTATCCGCCAGCGGATAACGGATATCCGCAGCGGATTATCCGCGACCATCTCTATTTATATAGGGCAGGGAGTTGTTGAGAGGACTGCCTGGGGAAAGTCCCAGGACATACCCAGCCCCAAGAGTTGTTTGGAGGACTGCCTGGGGAAAGTCCCAGGAGTTGTTGGGCGGACTGCCTGTGGAAAGTCCCAGGAGGTCCCCAGCCCCAAAAACCCAGCTCCCCCTAAGCCTTGGGAGTTGTTCCTCCCATTCCTGCAGTGGGAATGGGAGCCAATTCCCAAACAACAAAAAAATAATAAATCATTCCCCAAAAAAATGTTTTGGGGAATGCCCTCCATTGAATTTTCTCCTTTCATACACAGGAATAATGACCACACCAGCCACTGCCATGGGAGCTGATTTCAGTTCATTGGCCCCCAAAACCCTGGTTGGTTTTGGAGCATTGACTCCAAACCCCTCCAGGGGTTTCATTTATTCAGTTAAGGGTCTGACTTCCAAACCCTCTGACAGGTTTGGAGAACTGACTCCAAAAAGTTGGGGAAAAATATGTGGGAGGAAATCCTGAGGACCATCCTGAAACAGTACCCAGAAAGTCTCTGTGGTTTGGGAGTTGACTCTCCAATTTTTGGGAGTTACCCAAGTCAACCCTGAAGCCTGAGAGAATTAGGATTTTTTTGGCTTGGAGTTTTTCATAATCCATCTCAGGCACAATTGGCTGATTAATTTTTTCCTCTAGTTTTAACTTTTGGGGATCTTTCAAGCTTTCCCCATCTACAAGAGAATTTGGCTAATTGTAAAAAACATTTCCTTGATTGATAATGATTATTGTAAGACTTTCAATTTCAGATACTGTATGTGCAGTGAATGTATACAATGTGAGATGAAGCAGGAGAATGGAAAGCACAAATATTACAAGGTGAGTGCCACTTGAGAGCCTAAAAATCAAGAATAAAAAAATGATTCTCCATCATGTTGTGCATCTTTTGCTTCCCCAAAACAAAATGATCAGTTGAACAATGGTGCTTCTAAGTTCAACAAAGGATCAACAAATCTTAATTTCTTAATTCTCTCAGGCCACAAGGTTAAATTTAAAGTTTATAATTCCCTCCTTTGGAGGCCCGTCCAATTAGAGGGAATTAGTCAAGTGTGAGTCTTCCTTATAAGTAGATCCAATTGTAAGAAGAAGAAAAAAGGCTTATTTTTGGAGTCCTGAATCCAACTAGAACAAGAACTTATCAAAAATGATACAAATAAGTACATACACTTGCCATAAAACTGATTGATTGTCTTCACTCTGGTAAATTCTCACTGCCAAAGGGGTTGTTTTGGTGGTGAACCCCCTTGGTAAATTTGACCACAGGTAAAAAATATAAGGTTGGTCTCCCTGGGCAATTTTATATTGGATAGGCTCACTAATACATTACCTCATCTAACATGTTTCTTTGAATAAATCAAATGAAAAGTGATATTACAGGACCCCAGAAAGCCCCCCAATAGGGGGGGGGGGGGAGGGAGGGGGTGTTGGAAAAGGTATGAAAAATGGGCAGAACTCCCAAAAACCTACTCTTGAAAAAGCTTGAAAAAGGTATGGGTTAGTATTTTGGACCAAGATAATACTCTTGAAATGACTCATTTTAGGTATGTGAAACTGGTTAAGACCAACAAACTCTAGAATTTGGACCCCAAAACCAGGAGTTTGTTGTGAAAACCCCTCTTTTGGGTCAGCACATAAGAATATATGTTTGATAATCTGCATGAATTCATTATTAATTGGTTTTTTGATTGTTGGAAAAAGGAAAGTGAATTTTGGTTTATGCCTTCATGAATGGTTTTTAATGATCATTGTGTTAACAATGATGGGCTAGAAGTTACAGCTAACAATGGCAGCTAATGTTTCTCCAACTTGAGTGGCACAAAGATTACTCAAGTCCAGTAATTTGTTCTGATTATTGAATCAATGACTGATTCTTTAGATAAGATTTTGGCTAAAGAGTAGCTCATCAATCCAGTAATCAAGGAGCAATGAACTTAGCCAAACAATTTTTGTTCCACCCAATTTAAAGAAAGAGCAAAGACCAATCCCTGAAAAGAGGCTTTTATTTTTCTGCTTAACTAAAGTATTAAGTCTGTAACTTGTGTTTGTTGTGTTGAAACCTCTTGTGATAACTCTGCAACATCTATCCTTTATCAAATAAATCTGGAGCTTCAATCTCATTGAATCTAACCTAAACAATCATTGTCCCTTGTTCCTCTCTCTCCTCCACTCCTTGTGTCAGTGTTCCCCATTGATTCCCCCCTCAAAGATGCTCTTCCTTCCCCTTCTTCCCAATCACTACCCTCCACTACACCTCCATTCCTCCACTATCTATCATCCTCATCATCAACTCCTGTCATCTCTACAACTCCACACTTCCACTATTATCCTCAGTCTTTCATTGACTCCTTCTCTTATTTTATCCACTGTTTCTATCTTGCCTTATCAATTAAATTACATCTGATTATCTTGAGTACAAATTTGGTGAGAAAATACTCAAACATTGGTCACTCAACTTCATCAATATCATTGACTAATTTCTTATTTTTATTTTTGTTAGTCCTGTGGCATGTTTTTTTATCATATTCTTTTAGTTATATGTAGATTGTCTCTTAAAGATCATTATAATCTTCTGTGTGGTAAATATAATTGACATTTTTTTTCTTCCTTCTGATCTGTTGTCTTTATCTTTATTTCTCTCATGTTTTTTGTTTCAGTCTGGTTTTGGATACAGTAATTAAGTTCTCAAGTTGTAACAATTTGAATTGCTAGCTGTAACTTCTGGCCCATCATATTACAGTTCAGGAGTGTGAATCCATGAGGATCACTATTCCTTAGTTGCTATAATTGAGTAAGCAAAGAGAGTAACTTGGGACACATGTACAAAGCCTGGCTGTTCTCCTGGGCAGTCTGCAATCCAATGTAACACACAGTCATTTTCCCACATTATACTCAGCATCTATGATCCTTGGGTGATCTTATATCCAATCCTAGAATGTAGAGATTGGGGAGAGAGAGCCCTTCAAGGATGCAAAAATAAATGTACCACAGTGGTACCAATGGCAGCTCTGGTGGGCCAATCTATTTTTGTGCTTGGGTCACTCAATATGAGATAGTAACCCCATTTAATTTTAGGGACCCCCTTGAAGTTTCTCTAATAACAACAAAAAATCGGTGTTGTTTGTCTTCTTATAACACAAGAAGTTTTCTTTGGTTGTTATCCACTAATTTATCTGTTTCTTAACTTATTTCGGTTTGAAGATATGTAAATAGACAGTGTGGTGTTGCAATCCCATCAGCACACACACACTGTTCAAGTTTGGCAAAAAAGGCCAAGCGCACTGGGTCAATCCCAGAGCCTATAAATTGGTCACTCCTAAACCCTCACTTGACACATGGCAAAGTTGGTGGGGGTTGCAGGGACAAAACCAAGCAAGTGTGCCAGGGCCAACATAAATGCTTGCCATCAAGAAGGGACCCCTTCTTGGGCAGGGAAACTCACCTTTTTGATGGTTAGTACCCGTACTTGTGCCAACTACTAATGGGAAAGGCTTCCTTGCCAACTTTCAAGAATGCAATCTACCCTGCTTTATGGCTGGCACCATCTGTGAACAAGTGTTGAGATGGGAATGTCTGGTGCTTGGCAACTGGTTTTGTGCCAGTAATTGAGGTGGGATTTAATTTGTGAATCCTTTTCTGTGAGGCCTGTCCATGACCAATCAGTCATCAAGTAGAGTTTCAATGACCATTCTGTCTAACAGAGCCATCAATTGGTCCAGCAGGACCAGGCTCTGTAGACTGTGCCAAGTCCCATCCACACCTGGCCATCCCAAACTGCTGCTCCACATAGATGGGTTTGGGAATTCAGTTTCTGATAGCAGCTCAGCAAAACATTGCTCACAGTCCAGGTCACTCAAACTTGTACTCAAAACTTAACAAGAGTTTTGTCCTACAAAACTTAGCAAGAGTTTTGTCCTACAAAAGCCATTATTTGTTGCCAGATTACACAACTCAACATACAATGTAGCCTGTAAATAATCTCACTTTGAAGATAATTGTTTTGCTGGTTTTCTCATGGTCTCTCTTCCCTTCTTTCCTCAATCAGACACATGACTTGACCTCAACAAGAATTAATTACAAGCAAGAATTACTTATACTGGTAAATAAAAATAGTTTCCTTCAAACTCACCAAGGTAGATGCAAGGATTAAATCTCCATAGGTCTATCTCTGCTCACCCTCAAACAAACTCATCACACATGCAATGGCCTACTGCTGCGGGATGCTTCGGTAAGTTCTTGTGCCAATCACATTGTGACAATAGTCAGGTATTTATCAGGCTATCTGTGGCCTGTATTTGCCATACCCAACACCATACTGGAGTCTAGTCAGGCACCTCATGACCCATATCTATTGCCTTGACATCAGGTATATTTGCCCATTTTGGTTGGGTATGGGTTCCAGTGCTAAGCCAAACAGGGCAAGAATCCTCACCTGGGTCCTTTGTCCTTGACTTTGCTTTTTGTTTCAATTAGACAGGTAAAAAAAACTGTCCAAAGAGCCGGAGAAACCCCAGCCAACGATGGATGGCCGCAGGATTCGGGTGCACGCGGAGAGATGAAATCCAGCTGCGAGACTCGGAGACACCGAGCTGGAGCTTCAGCTTAGCCAGGCTCGGCTCAGGGCGCTTGACCTTCAGTGGCCCAACGTTGGCTGATGGCCAGACGCACTTGGTCATATGATCCCTGCGTTGTATGTACGGTAATGAACTGATTAATATATTCACTTTATGTATGTCCTCGTAGCGGCACATAAATAAGGCGCAGTGCGTAAACCTTCATGTCGGAAGCGAAGTCAAGCTCCAGTTGTTGGACTGGTGTCCATGCTATGTATATAGTATGGATATCTACCTGGCGCAGCAAAGTAACACTTCGCACATCTCATACACTTCTCGAAAGTAGCGACGGGAAGAGCAAGAAGGTTTGACACTACTGAGCAACCCTAAAATTTGACGCTGTTCTGTTCCTCGCTGTTCCGTAAAGCCTGGGAAAGCGGATGCACGGAACCCCAAAGCTGCTGGTCGGCATCTGGTTGCAGTCAACCTTTTGATAGCCAGTAATTTTCTATGTAGGTTCCAACTTCCATTGACTTTTCAGCTCCGACTCCGAGAGTCACACATACACCAGTTTTGTTTCAAGCCACTTCCGAAGTTCAGCCTGTTGCCTTCACCTTGTACATATGTATGTACTGAGGTATGCACCTACACATGCACATGTACGCACCGTGGCCCTCATCAACCTGAAATTTCTAATATGCCCCTCTAGAGGACCCTCTCCATTTCGTGCGACTGCAACTGTACACACTATAAACTTAATCCACCTCAAACTTTGGTGCGTGCCATCAGCCAAACACTCTACTTCGGAATCGGTTCCCTATCATGCTCGGCGAGCTTCATAAAGTGACATGCGGCGGATTCAGAAACCGCTGAGAAGCAGACATTGGTAGTAGATTTATGTAACACCTTCTTGAGCATCCAGTGAATAAAAATAAAATAAAACATCTGTGTATGCACGAAGTTTTTTCCCGATCTCAATTCTCCCCTTTTGCCACTCTAGTTGATTCTTACCATCCGTCTACTTGCTTATTGGGAACTTCCTTTTGTTAGTAGCCAGAAGGACGATTTCGGAGGCCGAAACACCATTGGGCTGCAACTGAACAAGGGACATCTTTCGGCGGGCAGATTTCCGAAAACCTGCATTTCCTTACATACTCTTCAAGCAGGGAAACAACTAGTGAGCTAGCAGATTGTTTACTGATCTTTCAGCTTCTTTTCAGTCCTCAGAGATTGACGACTTCTGGCTCACTTTGACCATGGCATGCAGCATCGGATGTGTGTTTATGTAAATTATACTATTAATTGAAATATGTATGGAGATTCTAAGAAACCTTTTGACTTGTCCCCCTCCCCTTGGCCAGTGGCTATCGTTTTAATTGCTTGCACAATCCTTCCGTCTTAACCACAGTTGTCCGCGCGAGAAGCCTGATTATCCTTCCAGTTGAGACTTGAAAGCCATTGCTGTCGTGATTTGAATTCTATTGCATGGATTGGGAATCTTAAATAATATTAATCGGGATGATCGTTGGAGTAGGTGCTATTGTGGACACGGATCTCCTCGCTGCCTCAGCTTCTTGCTTTTTCCTACCCTCCCCAGCTTCGACTAGAGATTTATAAAAAGAAGAATGTTTTATGTATTCGGATAAAATCAAGTATTGACATATTTATTTACGTGTGGTATAAAAACAATTTCCCCTTTGATGCAGGCTTGCCTTTTAAAGACATCATCGGAATTTGGCCAGTCACACCATTTATCAGCAGAACTCACCCCACTTCGGTAGCTCAGAGAAAATGGCGATCCCAAGAAATCACCCTGCTTCAGGACAAGCACCCAAACCAATGCCTGTCTTGCCTCACGAGATCATTGAGATGATTTTCCAGTCTCTCGAGACCTTAGTCTCACTCGAAGAGTCCATCGATACAGCTCGACCAGAATGGCATGTGTCTGGAAGTGTGCAAAGATCATTTCAAGTCAATCAAGTCAGACTTCTAGAGATTCTTAACCGTCATTGGACCCTAATTTCTCTCGTATCACAATTTTGGCATAAAGCTGTCAGCGATAGACGTCAAAATTTTCCAACTACCATCAAATCCTCTTCTACTCAATTGCCGCTCATCCGGCTAGCCCATCCAATACTCAAGATCACAAATCTATCAGCTCAGATAAATGGGGATCAAGTATTCTCGACCATTTGTAGTCTCAATGCTTGTCATCCGCTAGAATCTATTACTCTTTATCAAGACGGGCAAGAATTGGAGCCTTCTGAGCAATCTTGGGATTCTCTCTCCCAGGTTAAGTACTTGAGGGAACTCATAATCCATCAGCCTTTGTCGATACCCTTTTCATCAGTTTTCAAGGTCTTGGAGTCTTGCCTGAATCTTCAAGTGCTTAAGATTTACTCATTTGGAGATTTAGCGTCGCCGCAGTCGTCTATCCCGCCGATCGGCAATCATCAGGAGGTGGATGAAGATAAGATGCGTAAAACACTCAAGCATCTCACATGTCACTTCTCTTTACCCTGGCATCCGAGCCAATCGTGCAACTCCCTCGTTAGTCTACTTCGTAAGGGAATTTCTTCTCTGAATATCTTAACCTTAGTCTTCGACAACAGACACTCGGACCTTAATGAAGAGGACAACCTTGAAGATGAAGAGGAGCAAGTAGCTGGGATTCAAGCTTTCAGAGCTGAAGGATTACTGGAGGTTTTTAGAAACTGTCGAAATCTCCAAACTCTCCGACTTGCTGCTCCCGCCGAAATCTCCAATTTACCGCTCGTCGACCCGATCATCAATAATCTCCAAGCTTTAGAACATTTGCATCTCAAAGGAAATGTGTTTAGCCCGCTATTATTTACGATGAATGCGTTGCCTAAGACACTCAAGACGATCGATTGCCAAGCGTACTCGAGTCCGATCTTACCCTTGCTGAGGGCGCTTCGAAATTCTCTGCGCCATCTAACAAATCTTGAATCTCTAACCATCACCACCTACCGACGCAAGCCAAGAAACTTTGCAGAAGCGCTCTATGGGCAATTGGACCTTCCTCTCCCCACAGAAGAAGTTACAAGGGACGAACCTTTATCTTGGGACCTTGATCCAACCGAAACCCTAGCGGAACAAAATTTATTGACTCAAGAATGTCAACTTCGATCGATTAAAATTGATGGGCCAAGAGCTTATGCTCCTCCCAGTCACCAAAACTAGAGTCTCCTTTTTTCCAATCTCTCTATCCCCAGCATTGATTTATACATTTCTCTTTTTCAAGTCTATTCCGCGATTCTTCAAACCTCACACAATCCAACCAGAAAGCCAGTGTCATATCAAATTCATCCCAGCTTGTTTTTTAATTCAATTTTATAGGCAATCTGATTTGTAAAAGGTTATCAGAAGCATTATATTCAATTTTCCGGAGATTGTTTCTCTCTACCGTCCTGTTGATTTTCCATCTCAACTTCAATTACACACGTATACAAAGTCCGCCTGGTTTCTTCAGTTTGCAAGATTTTTCCCTGTTCTGCGCATCATCAAATTTACTTTCAACAGTTCAAAATCTTTTTATTTATTTGCTCAGTTTCATCTTTTTAATTTTTATCGCAGAGATCAACCGGGTGAATATAGTATAGTATCCCCAATAACAAGGTTATTTCTGCTTCTGCTGGATCTGAAAACCTCCTCATACTTCTCTCTATTTCTTGAAAGTCCACCTGCACCAAGTGATCAAAGAAGAAAAACAAGACCGTGAAAATTGACTGAGTCAAAATAGTTCCCCTATCAAAATAATGCTTTCTTTGGACTTTATCTATTCATCAGCAGATATTTATGTAGCTAATCAAATGCTCTTAAAATGATGTGTACCAAAGGATGGCCCCATTTCTCAAGGGTGCAACATAGCAGGGGATCAAAAGTTCAAGGGGGATTGCATTAACGTAAAGTGATTAGTTTATTCTCATTCCTGTGTTAACTTGTTGTCAGCAGATCAGCATTTATCTTTTCCCTTGCTTGTCTATGAGATATGATCATTGCTTTGAAATACATATTTTCGCATCTTGAAACCATCAGAAACCCAGATTAGCCTCCTCCAATCTAGACCAGAATTCTGTGTTCCATTTGGGTGGATTTTAATCATAAAAGCTGCTGAAATTGCAAAATTGAGGATGGGAGAATTTTTTTATGTTGGCATGGGATTTGCACATACAGCTCCCACTGTGTGTAATGTTCAATGAATAAGTAGCACCCCCCTCTGTGCATAGAAATAAGCTAACTTTAACAAATCAAAAACCTAACAAAAAGTTGACTTGAGCTTTTTAGGATTTTTTTTTCATGGAAAGCCAAATTTGGAGCATATAGAAAGCTGGACAATGCAACTATTTAAGAAAGTATAACCACAAACCTCAGCATCTATTCTCTTCACTTCAGCTGGAAAAAAGTAATCAATTGTATCAATGTAAAATTGATGGATTGTTCAAATTTTTATCAAACACATCAAAGCATATTATGTTACCTTAAATCCTCTCCTACATGGCTTTCCTTTCCCCATTTACTGCCCATTCATCGGCAATCCCACAACGGTATTCCTTCTGGATTGTAATTTTCCATGTTTTTCAACTTTACTGCCTCAATCACCTGTTTCAATTCCAATAGTGCAAAAGTATCCAGAAAAAAAGAAAAAATTAGGTCCCGTTTGGCTGCAAATCACGATTTGTGATTTGGCTAAGGTTTGGTGTGGATTCGGACCGTGTGATATAAAACGGGTCGCTGTAATTTTACAAACTATATTTTACAAGACATATGTCTTGTAAATCAGATGGTTTGTAAAATTACATTTTTATGGGGGTAATGTATAATTTTACAAACCATCACCCAAAAATATGGGTTGCGACATATGTGCCTTAAAATTGCAACCCATGCCCCATGGAGTTGAATTTTAAGGCACATATGCTGCAACCCTTATGTCTTGCAAACAATATGATTTGCAAAAGTACATTTTGGCCTGATTTCATGGAATTTTGCAACCATTAGTTTACAACCCATATATGAGTTGTAAATTATGTTTTGCAAAATTGCACAACATGGTATGTAAAATTGAATTTTACAAACCATGTTTTGCAACCCTCCAAAAAAAAAAACCATTGATGACCGGTTTGACCGGTCATTGATGGGAGGACATACCTCCATCAATGACCGGTCAAACCAGTCATTGATGGGAGGACATACCTCCATCAATGACCGGTCAAACCGGTCATTGATGGAGGTATACACCCCCATCAATGACCGATGGGGGTGTTTATTGTGATGGAGGTAAACACCCCCATCGATGACCGATGGGGGTGTTTATTGTGATGGAGGTAAACACCCCCATCAATGACTGATGGGGTGATTGCATTGATGACCAATCAACGGTCATTGATGGGGGTGTTTCACTGTTTACCTCCATCAATGACCGGTTTGACCAGTCCTCGATGGAGGTATGTCCTCCCATCGATGGAGGTATGTCCTCCCATCGATGACCGGTTTTGACCGGTCATCAATGGGGGTGTTTGGGGGTTTCCATTGATGACCGGTCAAAACCGGTCATCGATGGGAGTGTTTGGGGGTCTTTACTCCCATCAAGGACTGGTTAAAACCGGTCCTTGATGGGATTGTGTACTTCATCATGTTGAGTTGTCGGCAATGTATGTTTGACAAAGGGTGGGAGGTGGGGACAAGGCCTGGCATATCACCCATGATATGCCATGCTTGCCAAATGTTTGTATGAAGCTTAAAGCTTATATATTGAAATTTAAAGGATAGTTTGTGAATTATGTGTTGTAAAATTCTATTACAGGGTGTCAATAAGCTTTTTTACATACGTAGTTTCACAAGACATTAAGGTTTGCAAGCATATGTCTTGTGAAATTCTAAATTTAAGGTTTGATATACAACTTTACAACCTAGTCATGCAAGACTTGCATGATATAGTTTGTAAAATTACATAATGCAATGTTGTGATACAATTTTAACAAACATATTTTACAAACCAATTTTTTACAACCTTCAAAAATCACAGATGGTTTGTAAAATTATACATTACCCCCATGGAAATGTAATTTTACAAACTATCCGGTTTACAAGACATATGTCTTGTAAAAAATAGTTTGTAAAATTCACTTACCCCATATAAAACAATATAAAGTTTTTGCAAAAACTCCTGCCAAACCTCAACTCAAAATTACAAATTACGGACGGCCAAACGGGGCCTTATTTTACTCATGCACTCATATTTTCTGATGTTCTTTGAAACAATCTTCCAGATGCTACCTTGTAAGAGTGCACATTCTCCAAACAACGGAGTTCAAATGCTAATAAAAAGGGCTGATGTCAATGTTCAGTCGGAATTATTGATGAACTTTTAAGAAGACATAGTTTCCAGTATCATTTAAATACCAATGACAGAAAGGAAATGGAGAGTGATGAGTTGAATATCGACGGCCAAATCAACTTTCCAGTGAGGGCTTAGAGTTCAGGAGCCCAGTGTTTCCTTGAAAATGGGGCTCCTGAACTCGCGGCAAGTCGAGAACCCCACTCCTGTCGAGCCAACCCAACTTCACCACTGCTCCACATTAGGCCTACTCCACATCCATCTAATCCTCGAACTTCGCTCATCGTTATCTTCTACAAACTCGAGTTGATTAAGCGAATAACAAAATGGCGGATGAGGCAATCACTCGTTTGAACTCCTACGTCGGTTTTGACTCGATCACCCGTCAAATCGAGCACAAGCTTCTTAAGCGTGGTTTCCAGTTCAACGCCATGGTCGTCGGTCAAACCGGTCTCGGGAAATCTTCGTTGATCAACACTATCTTTGCTAGCCATCTGATCGACTCTAAGGGCCGTCTAGATGCTGATGAGCCTATTCGTCAGACCACAGAAATTCAAGCGGTCAGCCATGGTCAGTTGGGGGGTTTTTAGTCACCTCTCGGCCATCCGTAATTGATCAATGGTATTGATCGAACTTGTTTATCTTCGGTCTTGCTCATTCATCGTTGCAGTCGTTGTGGAGAATAACGTCAAACTTCGCTTGAACATTGTTGACACGCCTGGCTATGGAGACCTGGTCAATAACGATGGCTGTTGGGAACCGATCATCAAGTACATCAAAGATCAACACTCAGCTTATCTTCGCAAGGAACTCACTGCCCAGCGTGACAAATACATCCAAGACACTCGCATACATTGTTGCATCTATTTCATCTCACCCACTGGACATGGACTGAGGGTCAGTTTCAACTTCCTTCAGGATTTCTTTGTGTATATTTCTTGTTTTGCTCAATGTGCATTTTATTTATTTCCCATTGATAGCCGATTGACATCATCGTGATGAAAAAACTGAGCGAAGTTGTCAACATTGTGCCCGTGATTGCCAAGTCGGACAGTCTGACACTAGAGGAGCGTGAGGCGTTTAAAGTCAGGGTAAGTTTGAGAGGTAACGAAGATCGACATTGAGCTACCACTCAACTAAATCAGAATTTTGTTTACCGTCCTTGCAGATTCGAGATGAATTGCACTATCACAACATCCGACTGTATCCCTTTGACAACGAAGAACAAGACGCAGAGGAATTGCAGCTCAATGAAGCCATCAGGGTCCGTTTCTTTTCCCCCAAAAAAAGAAACCAGTGTTGAATGAAATTCTGACTTGTTCTTGGTTCCGTGATACAGAACATGATTCCTTTTGCTGTTGTCGGTTCCGAGCGCAACGTCATCGTGGATGGAAAGCCCGTTCGAGGCAGGAAGAATAGATGGGGAGTGATCAATGTTGAGAACGAACAGCACTGCGAATTCAACTATCTGAGGAACTTCTTAACCCGGTATGTCTTGTTTCTATTCAAGTCCCACCCAATCAACGTGGAGCTTATCGTCTTGCCGATTTTTTCTATAGAACACATCTACAAGACTTGGTTGAGACTACAGCCCAGATCCACTATGAAGCATTTAGGAGCAAGCAACTGTTAGCATTGAAAGAATCTAGTGCCAATAAGGCTCACCAGCCACAATCTAATGGAGCTTGAGGGATATATGTCCACTTGGTTTCCCAGATTATCTACTAAGATCACAGTTCTATCTTGTTTGTTTGCTGTTGGTTGATAAGGACTTAAACACTTCATAAATCACACTCCCCTACTCACTATCAAAGAAATCTTGCATCTCTGATCAGCCCCCATTTTTCCAAGAAAAAGAAGAAAAATAATCAATTGATTGATAAAGATATAATAACCATATGGTCTTGTCTTTCAAGTGGCATTGCTTTTTTCCTCTATTGTTTCTTCTTTCTTTTCATGGATCCTAAAATCACTCCCACTTAACTTATTTATTTATTCTATATGATGGTCCTCTTTTGTTGCTTATTCTTCCATGTTAAGTTTTGTTTGCTCTTTTTTTGAAAAGAATTTATGACAACCAATAAGAAGAAGAAAGAAAAAGAAAGCATGTTGGTTCTCTGGATTATCTCTTGTAGTCACCCTACAGGCATTGACTTGTTTGCTTACACTCCAAGAGTATCTGCAAGACAAGCAAGATGTTTGCCTAAGGAAAAGTGGATGGGATCACTAATTTAACAAAGTCCTCCCTGTGCAGGAGGCTTGTTTTTGGTGGTGCTTAAGTTTGGCTGGTGGTAAAGCCACCCTTCCTGCAGGGAGGGACTTAGCCTAAAGTGCCTTTACTGAGACCATCCACCAAAAAGCAATAAAACATCACTCTTTGAATTTTACAGCCTGTAATTTACACACTGTCTGTAACAGCTGACAAAATTTAGAACCTTGTGTATTGTGTTGATACTTAGAACTCATCAGCTCACCAAAATGCAAACATGATTATTTGAAGTCAATTTTTGAATCAAGTCAAGACATCATCCATCCTCCTATGCTTGAACCTGTGGGCTTGAGCATGATAAAATTTTGTGCCATCTTTCTAATTGTTTGACAAAATATCTTGTAAGTTGTAGAAGCAAATTTAATGTTCCAATGCACCTCTTCTTTGCCAGAAAGAAATGTGTAGCTCAAAAGACAATTGAGCTACAGGTTGTGAAATTGTGAGTGACCAGCTCTGGCAGATTTGATAAATCAAAGAAATGTAAGATAGCATAAATTTGTGATGGGACTGTTTTTTGACATGGCAGTATAAAAAATACAATTATCTAACACAACTCCTAATAGCCCCATTGACAATAGTCAGTCATCAGCAAATCATTGATACTTATTACTACACATCCATTCTTGAATTTGTAGTCCAGAGTCCCCCAGATTATTCCAAATCCATCCAAAACAAATTGCTATCAGCAACTTTTAACAAGTGAATCAGCCAGTGGAACTGTCTATTGTGAACCGGGCTAATACAAAATCTTTTACCAGACATAATAAGTTTCAAAATTCTCAAAAGGTCTGATGAGATAATCAGGAAATAAAAAGAAAAATCATGAAATTAGAACATGGAAAAATGAAAGTAAAAGTAAGGTTTTTATTCAGCAAACATTCTTTTCTTGCTACATAGAGTAGTTCACTATAAGTCTTTTTTGAATCAATGATTGTCAATACTGACTAAAAGAGGCTGGGAGATACATTTCTAAATATAACAAGACAATTTTGAAATCTGCTCTTCAAATTCTTTCATTGTTGTATTCACTGAACAAAACTGCCAGCAATCTATTTCCTGCAAATTACAAAGGAGTCTATGATTTCTAGATATGATAAATCCATAATATTTGGGAACCATTTGGGTTTTTTTTACTGCACTGTCTAATCTTGTTATCTTACAAATTAAAAAAATCTTTCAAATCTTTAACAGTCCATGCTTTGACTCCAGACTGAATTTCTTGTAGTAAATAATCACTTATATATGTTATTTAAATCTTTCCATACTGGATTACATCAAAATCAAATTCTGATTTGCTTCTCTTTGAAGTCCAAGTATATTGTCATCATAATTTTCTTCTATTAATAAAAAAACCTCATAAGATTCCTTCTTTGCTTCTTCATCATAAACATCTAGATTGGGACTATAAAATTTGGATAAATCCCACAGCTTTTGTATCATTTTTTTAGCTTGGATATAATTTTGATCCATAGTTTGCCATGGCATCCATCTAGTAATTTGTTTAGTGAAATCTCTTTGTTTGACTGTATTTTTCCAGTGTCTGAAATAATATATCACTTTTAAATAATCTATAAACCAATGGTTTTATTCTGAATAAGGATTTAGTGGTTACAAATTCCTTGAGAAATAAATATTTGATTTGTCTCAGCTTGCCATCCTCAAGCACTGGTTGAATATTTATGTTCAAGTTTTGTGAATATCAATGCAATTTGTTTTAAAAAATGATTTTAGTAACTTATTCTGGATAGAAAATGGAAAATTCTTGAACTTATGTCTTGCCTTTAAAGAGATTCTGATAGTGTGGAAAATTACTGTTTCTGATAATAACTTGTGTGGATGAAACCCGTGTGGAGAGAAAACCATTGACTCCACCTAGGAATGTAGAATGATAGGTTCTGACCATGCAGAGTACAGCAATTTTCATGGTATCATTTGTTTCATAAAATTCTCTCAATACTTGCTTTCTTATGATGCTTTGCTTGTACATGTAATCAACTGCTTGAAATATATGGTCTTGAACTTTCAAAGCATTTTTGGATTTTATGGCACTCAAAGAGTTTTTTGGGTATTTCTTTATGAAGCAACTAATTTTATGCAAAATTATATTGAGGTTCATCATGTGGTCTCTTGAAATTTTGTTTCCAACTATGCTAACCCAATTGATATCCAGATTTTCTGATTTTATGTTTTGTGAGTAGGATACTGTATCAGGAATTTATGCTTTATTTGTGACTTCTTCTAGCTCAAAGTTCAATTCTTGGGTGCTGAATTCATCTGATTTATCAACACCTGATTTATCTTTCATTTTATTTATCTCATTCCAAATTGGAAGGAAAGAAAACTCTAATTCTTTGATTAATTCAAGCAAGCCTTTTTTCCTCATCTTACCCCAGATTTTTTTGACAAATTTATTGCTTTGGTGTTTTTATTTTATTTTTTGATATGAAGTTAGTATACTCCTATCTTATAACATGTATTAGTCTTTCCCTTATGGCAATGAAATCTTTCCCAGTTGAATCATTTTGAACCTGACAGAAATTTCAAGTTACCAATTCAAATTCAACATCATGAGAGAAACAAGAATATCAGGCTAATGACTTTTGGCATCTTTATGAGTAAAACAACCTTTTAGCTTACTCATTTTTGGAAAATGAATATCTTGTTTTCTAAACTGAGGGACAGTGGCTACAAAATCATGTAAGTTTGTTTCTTCAGTTTCAGGGTCTATAGGCTTGCAGTTCAGAGCTTCAGCGTGGGAGTCTAACATTTGAGTTAGCCTTTGGATATCATTATGGTAAGACCTTGCAATTTCTTTGAATTGGATAATGGATTTCAAACATCATATTGTTCAAGAAGGTTAGAATGAGCTAGATGCTGTAAAAGTAAGCATGGATTGGCAGACATAGTGAAATGAAGCAAATCACCTAGGGCATCCATGCAGGTACTTCCTTCAGGAAGCACGGGATAATCAACAATCCTATTTTTTGGTACCTCACTAAAATGATCATTTTGGTTGATAGAAGGCAAGATTTAGAAGAGTGGGGTCTTGGGGCTATGTGATGAAAAGCACAGGCTTTGCAGTGAAGATTCATCATTACAGGGAGACAACTGGTCCTTCATGCTGACACCAGCTGCTATTTATACATAATATCTTGTAAAAGATTTGGGCAAAGAAAGCTGTAAGAGGATATGTAAGTAAATATTAAGATAGTTATGGTGTCCTTCTTAATTTTTTGTAAACATTAACCCTCGAGACAACTATTCAATAAAATATTTAGAACCAGAGACTTGATCAACCCAGCAGACATCTTGACAGGGTCTTTATTTTACAGCCTGTGGGGTGTGATCCAAGATGTTTTGCGCACTGTTGGTACTCGTCACTTGAACGAAACTTCAGACCAGGCTCGCATCTCCAGAAATCTCGACGGGGTCTTGGTTTTACAGCCTTCGGGGCACGATCCAAGATGTTTCGCGCAGACTTTTGGTACAGAGTCACTTGAAAGAAACTTCAGACCAGGCTTGCATCTCCAAGGATGTTGTATGACTTTCTGCTGACTTATATAAAACCAAATCTTAGAACCCCAAAGTGCCAGCAAATACTTTCTGACACTTGACAGACTTAGCTTTGCAACAATAGGTTGGAAAGATTTCTTTGACTGGACCCTTGCCCAGGTTAAAAGAAATTAAAATGATTGCTGAGGGAGCCTTTTTCAATGAATTTAAATGGATTTTTTACATTGGAAAAGATGATATAAGTACCACTGGTATCATCTAGATATACATTTGTTTTGCACCTGTGGACATCTCAAATGATCCGTTAATTTACAATACAACTCGTAAATAAATATATATTTTACATCTGTATCTGGAAATGGATAACAGGGAGCTTTGAGCTTCCGCTGATAAAAAACTGCAATGTCATCTTGATCTTAATCCGATTTTAGACTGGAGCTGACTGCGGTGGCGATTTTGGAAATGAAGGTGCTGCCTGCAGAAATTCTAGAAACGGCCAAGAGGAACACAAAATGGCGTCAAATGGATATGCAGGTATTGATGCTGTTTCATACGAGATAATAGTAGGAGAGTCATTGTTGCACATACCCTGCCTTTAAGGCGCTAATAACTCCTTCTAATTTGCTGTCTCCGGCACTACGGACGGTGAGAGGAGAATAAAGATTGTGAGCAGGGACAAGATAAATTGATTTGTGATGAGAACTATGTAGGAGAAGCATTGACACACGCTTTGGTCGGTGCATCTTTACTGGCTGGCGCGTCTTTACTAGCCGGTGCGTCTTTACTAGCCGGTGCGTCTTTACTAGCCGGTGCGTCTTTACTAGCCGGTGCATCTTTACTGGCCGGGGCGTCTTTACTGGCCGGGGCGTCTTTAGTGGCCGGGGTGTCTCCACTGGCCGGGGTGTCTTCACTGGCCGGGGAGGCTCCACTGGTCGGCGCGTCTCCGCTGGTCGGTGGGTCTCCACTGGTCGGCGCGGGTTTGCTATCGTCCTTGCTACGAAATTCGCAATATTCCATAAGGTCGAGTTCGGATTGAGCGAGATAGATCAAAGAAAGAAAGTTGGATGGGCATGGTAAGGAGAGAGAGAAAAATCAGATTTGCGGTTGATGTATTGATGTGTGAGTCCGAGAACAGTCATTGACGTACGCTGTTGTTGGGGCTTCTGGAGAATCTGTAGCGGGCGAGGCTGATTTGACAGCATCCCCAGCACCTCCGCTATATGATCAAATAAGAAGAGAAGGAAACAAATTGGTTGGAGTGCGGATTAGCTGGTTATGTACTCCACATGCTGAATGCACCTATAGGCCTATGCTGATGAAGGCTTAGACATGCTTATAGAAGACTAGATCTCTAAGATCATAACACTATATCCACCTCAAACCTACCTGGGTACAACCGCACATGAGATGATGGAGAGGATGGCGAGTAGGACCATACAGGTAATTGAAGATTTCATTCTGAGTGAGTATGTACTTCTTTTGCGTCTTTTTTAAAGGTTATGATATGGTGGAATGATACCAGAATCGTTTGCTTTTTGTGATAGATTGTTGGGATTGTGGATTTTGAACGCACCGTTAGTCATAGCCGAGCCTATTTAGCTGCATCCTTATCGATAATCTTCGCTCCCTATAGGCTATGGCCACTGAGGCATTGAGATCGTTGTTGTTTGAGCATGTACGCATGTATTCCACCGGCTCAAAGGCCCATGATGATGTTTTCTTCATGGACCCTGTACATCAGTCGGCCCTTACATCATCGTGTCATTTCCTTGGCCGAGTCTTTGCCACAACCAACTTGGAGCTATGGAAAGGGGCAAAGCGGTGTAACTTGAGACTCGGCATCCTTAGGGTCTGAGCTGAATGAATGGTAGTAGAGAGGTGGGCCGACAGGACACAATGATCACTCAAGGCTCTTGTGCAAGTGTGAATCAGCCGGCCATTAACTTCATCTGGTCTTAGGTGTCTCGGAAAAGAGCTTGAAGGGGCAGGCAGAAGATGGAAAGATTTTTGTCACCGGTATATCAAGGAACAAGGCCAGTTTCCGCGTGTACAGATGATCAGGTTCATGAACCCTGCACCACCGCTTTAATTTGTGAAGTGCTATTTCCCTTCCAAAGCCGGGTCAGTTAAGTAGCTAACTTAACAAAGTCCTCCCTGTGCGGGAGGTTGGATTTGGGTGGTGGCAACGGTGGGCCAGCTACGCTAACCGTAGTGTTAGTGTAGCGAAAAATCACTACAATTTAGCGTAGCTTTAGCGCTTTTTTCAATTTCTGCGCTAAGCGCATGGGGGAAAAATTTGCGCTAACGTTTAGCGTAGCGTTAGCGCGATTCCCCCCATGTGCGCTAACACCACGCGCACAGGGCGCCAAAAACTGCCTGCTACGCTGCGTTACAGCCATTTTTAGCGGTTTTTAGGCGTTTTTTGCCGCTAAAAACGCTGTAGCGAAGCGTAACGCTTACACTACACCAAAATTGGGCTAGTGTTAGCGTAGCGCAGCGGCCGTAGTGGCGTGCTAACACTACACAAAAAAAAATGGCGCCACTACACTAACGCTACATGGGCCTGTAGCGTAGTGTAGCGTAGCGGCCCACCGCTGCTGGCGGCGTGCGGGAGCCAGAGGGGTGGCTTCGCCACCAGCCAGTGATTCACACCAGCGAACCTCCCACCAGGGGGGGACTTGGTTAAGTTAGCTTAAGTAGGGGGGTTAACAAATGTTTTTCGCTTCTTGTGCCACTAGAAAATCTTGCTGGATGCTAGTTTCTAGCTTGAGAGTATCAAATCCAATCCAGACTCAGCAACTCAAATCAGCATTGACTGCAGGTTGTTGTGGTTTTGGTAGACCAGGACCCAAACAGAATGTCTGGACAAGTGTTGCATTATTCACTCACACTTTTTTCATGTGAGGTAAAAATGGGTTTGATTCAGCAAGGCTGGGCATTTCTCAAAAGTTTTAAAAAGTGTTCTTGCAAAAAAGCTATTAGGAGTGTTCAAAGTTAATTTTTAAACCACAGTACATTGTAAAATCATGAAGCTTGCAATTTTTTTATGAAGGATCCAAATAGACAGAAAGCCAAAGTTTCATATAATTGACATTGTATTCCAGTAGGGTTTATGATTTCATGAAGAAAGTGGTTCAAAAATCAAATTTGAACACCATAATTGGGAAACCTGCTTATGTCTATCATTGGGATGAATGTTTCTAATTTTCCTGACTCTACCAATTTTGACCGTTTTCCAAAAAAAGGTCGCAGTTTTTTTCTCAACTTTTTGACTCATGAGATCATGACTTCTGCTAATTTGATTTGTTTGACAAAAAAATAGGGTAGGATGAGCAAGAAAAGTATGTTTTGCATGGCTTGAGTAGGGTTGGCGGCGCCGGTCACGAGGCGCGCCGGCGACGGGGGGCAACAAGGGGGGGGGGGGCGCCCAAATGCCCAAAAACTCCCCCAGGCGCGCCCTCTCAGGAGCCCAGGGTGAGGAAATGAGTGATTCAAAGAACAGAAGACCTCAGCAAAGACCCCGGAAAGCCCCCTAATAGGAGGGTGTTGAAAAAGGTATGTGAAAATGGCAAAAAAGCCAAAATCATACTCTTGAAATGGGTATGAATTTGTGATTTTTGTCGAGATGGTACTCATGAAAGAGGCCATATTAGGTATATGAACCTGGTTTAAACCAATAAAATCTTGGTATTTGGCCCCAGATTGGACATTTTACCGGGGGCTACCCTTTTTTTGTGGGATTTTAGCCTGAGCCTACTCTTGAAAAAGTATTAATTTTCCAAAAAAAAGCGACTCCCCGCAGGGCCCCAGGTATGAATTTTGCCAAAATTTGGACTTTTTCAACACCCCCCCTATCCTAGGGCTTGCAGGGGTCCTCCTCAGCAATGTGAAAAGTCAATCCAACTCTATCTGAAGAATGCCCAAGACCCCCAGTGACAGCAAAAAGTGGCAGAAACCTACAAAGCATCATGGCGCTTGTTGGAAAGGATTTCTAATGTCTGTCAACTTCCAGAATGATGAATCAAGAAGACAAAAAGCAAAGTGTACTCACTGCTCAGCAGTCTTTCTGAACTCGGAATACAAAAACATGATGGCTTGCAATCATTTTCAGAATCCTAGCGACTTGGAGGAGTTTGAGCAAGGTAACTTGCCACTTGATGAGCAATCCCCTGTGTCTACATCCAGAGAAAATGCTTGGATGGAGACAATGTTTGATTTTGATCTTTGGGAGAAAGATCATCAACCACAAGATGTGATTGTGCTCAGCAATCACAAGCAAACTGAAGACACGGATTGTGACTGGGATCCCACAGATGTTTGTGTAAGCCCTGCTCCTCACAGGCTTACACAAACCTGTCACATGATTACATAAGCCTCTTCAGTCTTTTATTTAGTCTCATCTTCCCCTTTCCCTTCCTAGCTTGGTAGAGTTCTTCCTTCTACCGATGCTAGGTACGTCGTCCCATCTCTTCTTCCTCTATTCTTCTCTTCCCACTTCTCACCATTCTAGTTGTACTTACGAGAGTTCTTCCTTCTACCAATGCTAGTAATTAAATCGACCGTTGTGGAACTGCTCAGCACGTGAGTAAAGAGCTTAGAGGGGATAAAATAGCTAATAAGACTATGGAATAGTAGAATTAGTATCTATGTGTGGGTGAGACTGCCCTGCTGTCTAGCTTGCGGGAAAGTTGCACTAAGAAAAATAAGAGTGGGGCTTATTTCTAAATTTATCTTAGTGTTGATACTACTGTTATTGTTGCTTAAGAATACCTGTTGAAGAGGTAAGGAGTTTATGAGGTTTTCTGAGTAATAAGGGTTTCTGAAGGGTTTCTCTGTTAAATCTGTTATAAATTCTCTCTGGTTCTCTGATCTAATAAGACTCTCTGGTTTCTCTGGGCTCTGATAACTGGTCCGCTTATTTCTCTAATATCTTTCAAAGAGGTGAGAATGGCTAAGCAATATTTCTGAATTACTTTTCTATGGCCAAAATTGAGGTAAGGGAAGTTCAAGGGCTCTGATAATCTCTGGATCTCTTAATCAAAGGGTGATGAAAGCTGGGTAATATCTCTTATTACTATTCTGTAGCTAGCATGAGGAGGGAGAAAGGAAAACATGAGCCAGAGGAGGCTCTATTTATAGACAAATGGTTCTGCAGTACATGGGTTTTTGGCCTGAACACAAGTTTTTCTGAGAAGGGTACTTCTAGAGTGGTTTTTACTACTCTGAGATGGCCTAATCTGATATGAATTAGTCTCTAAGTGCCTTTCTAATACAAGAGGTTGTAAATCTACTACATGAGGCCTATTAGAGATGGCACTTGATACTTGTTTGCAAGTACTTGTTGTTTTTTTGCATGTACCTGGGACCTGTTTTTTGGTACCAGGTGCCTGAAAAAAGGTTCTAGGTAGCTGCCACAGGTCCCATGTACATGCCAGTAGGTCATAAGTACCTACCAATATGTTCCAGGTACATGCCAACAAGCAGCAAGTACTTGCAAACAAGTATCAAGTGCCATTCTTAGATTAGTTACTATGAGAATGGTAATCTTAGACTAATTAGTATAAGAGCTATTTTCTAGAACTAGTCTGTGAAGCACTTTCTGATCAGTACTGTAGCTTGATTTATCAGTCTAGGATGGATGAATTATAATTCTAACGGTTATTTGTATAATTTTTATCCATGAAAAATTATATATCTTAGGCCCAGTTTGTGATTTAATTCCACTATGATTTAGCTCAGTAATATCTATGGGGTTTATTTCCTAATCTACCCCTTGTCCTCTAATATTTTAATTACTATTTATATGTAATAAAGTGTTTTTTTAATTATGGCTATGGGTTTGATCAATCTCACCACACCGTGGTACTAGAAGTTCTCTCCAAGGCAAAAGGCCTTGTTCCGACCGCTCTCTAAGAGCACCAGTGAAGAGCATTCACAGCTCTTACAGTTTGGGTCTCCAATATTTGAAATCAATCAGTTTTAAGCTTTTCGTTTCTTTCTTCTTCTCAACAAGAAATAAAAGAAGTATTCCAAACACATAGAAAAAAAAAATCACCAGTAAGTCCCATACAGCCCAAAAAGCCCCAGTGCCCCGGCGCGCCCAGGATGACTTGGAAAAGGCACGCCTTGGTGCCCTCATCCCAAAGGTGGCGCCGCCAACCCTAGGCTTGAGGCTCAAGATGGATGCCTTGTTAATTTCTGAAAAGGCCTCCTCATTTCATAATCTTAGCAGGCATCTGGCTGAATTTGATCTTTGCAAACACTGTCCCTACAAATAGCACATTTTGCAAAAAATTTGACAATTTTGTGGTGGAGAACTGGGAATGCTTGCCTACAGTTCCCAACATAACCTGCACATGCATACAATGTTTGAGTTTGATAATGGAATCTTAATTCTATGTAAAGGGGAAGCTCCCATCAAACTTGAATGCTCCCCTGGAAAAAATCAAAGGATGAC